CAGTGTTTTAAGGATTTTCTTGACATCTTCCCAACAAGGTAACTGCGATGTGTCATTCCGTGTTCTATGAGCGGGGAAAAAGTCTCCCAGCTTCATTTTCGGTATTTTGAAAGTTTTAGCAACATTTTGAAGTGACTAATTTGGCATTGCAGGCATTGTGCATAGAAATCTTCTTCCCAGAAGATTTTCAGGACCAGCAACGTCGCAATCTCTCAATTTTAGTGTACCATGCTTAAGTTTAATAAAAATGTTATTCGTAGCGTTTCATTCACAACCGTTACTTTTTTCGAATTTAATTTTTTTTCGTTTAAAATTTCAACCAAAATGGATATTAAGGACCGAATAGTATTTCGGAAAAAAGTTGATTTTATGCAACTATATCATTGATGACAGTTCAGAACGGAGGAAGGATGCAAATGAACGTCATGCCGAAAATTGTCATTGAAGTTAAAAAATACCGTGAGTAAGTAAAAAAATTAAAGTCTCAAGCCACAGTATGTCAAGAGTACTGGGAAGCATGGAGGTGGGTACACAATGATTTTAAGCTGTTTTTCTTTTTATGGAGTTCGATTTATTTAAGAGATTTCTGAAGTAATGGATCGGATTGTTTGCACAAATGTGTTGATAACGTTATGGTTCCCTTCGTCGAAGAAAATATTCCACATACACCGAAACATGTCATCGGCTGGTTGCGGGAGTCAAAAAAATCTGAGTTTTATAATCATCATCACTATCATTAGATCTTCAGCCTATAGAAAGATCTTTGATAGCTAAATAAAAAAAGAGGAATAGTATACCCAATGATCAAATTGAGCATTCAATGACTGAACCGATTAGGACCAAATTTTCCGAAAGTGACTCTAAATTGATCTGGATTCACTATAAAAAATGTTACGCAATCGGATACAAAATGTGTCCTTTGTGCGGCTGCATCCGAACGAAATTGAAAGATCTAGTTGCTTCTAGTGAGTTGTTTCCTCAAAAATCTGCAACTGGCCCCATAGTGCATTATCAAATTTTTTAGTATTTTCCGTCCAATATAGTATGTAGCCTGGACACCACGGGCATACAGTTTTGAGCCCTTTATTCGTAGGAAATAATCATCTGAAAGATTGGTCGGACAATCATGACCAATAAAAACAAATTTTGCAGAACAGCTTTTATGCGTGTTATAAACATCCGAACGAAATGAAATATGTTTGGTGGATTTTATGCCTCAAAAATCTGTCATTGATGCATTCCCATAACTTTTAGTATTTTCCGCATACCGTTTTGAGCCCTTTCTTTGTAGGAAATAATCACCTGAAATATTTGTCGGACAATCATGACTACTTCTTCCCTACAAACGTTGATATGTTTGTTAACCTTAAAATCGGACCAGTCATTGATTTTGACCGAATATTCATTGGCTGCATTTTCAGTACAAAACCACCAGGAACGACGATGGCTGCATAAATCATTAGTTGTTAGCATAAAATAATTTATTTTTGGGCAATTCTACCATTGGGCCAAAAATCCACAGTGTCAGTATACCTTTGCCTAATTGTAGCTTCAGTCGTTGCTTACATGTCTAAATTTATACATCATAGTCAGTTTTTATAATTTATTAACATTGGTCTACTCTCAGTCAGTCACCATTGAACCTTCATTACACATTTTGTTTTATAATTCTTTGTTTAATAAATTACAATACAATTGCTGATTGTAGAGTACACGACTGGTCACCCTTGACCGATAACAACAAATATATTCAATCAGTTTTTGGTAAACAATACGTGCGTCAAAATTCGTTGTTGATTTGGGTTCTATTAAGCTTATAGACCTAAGTTTTGTAAATAAAAATTCCTCTTTATTTCATTTTTCCCGACGTTTCGTCAATGTTTGTTGACATCTTCAGGGGATACGTCTATTTAAATAAACATTACATTAGATCAAATCTTCATGAATATATAATTAACTTACAATAAAATTGGATTAAGTTTACATGAAGTATTTCGTCAAGTTCAACAACATAAAACCTTAATAACTAATATCACCGATTTCTATATTGCAATGCGATAGCTAACACTTATGTTGTTTGTGTCCTCTTTGAGGTTCATCGTCCTTTCTATTTTCTGTTGTATTCGTAAACTTTCTATCGTGTATCTTTTATCGTCTTTGCTTTCTTTGTCTAATATTTTGACATTTTCAAAATTTGCTTTGTGTCCCGTTTTCGAAATATGTTGCGCCGTTGTTGTTTTTTTTTTTTGATCACTGATCTTCGCTCTTTTTTAAAATGAGAAATCAAAAAATTGTAATAAATAAAAAAATAACAACAAAAATATGACAAATGTGAGAGATCTTTATGGAATCTGTGGTGAGAGCACCATAGCTGTTTGTTTGTCTCGAATACACGTTTTGTACATGTACATATGTACGTACTTTGTGACAACCACTGATCTTTTCTTATTGATTCATCCCTCTACCCTTTACCGCACTCTGTTTATTTGTTGGCAGTTTTTTTGTTTGCTTGAAGATTGTGACGAAATATGAAAAAAAAACAAAAGTACTCTGAAAAAATTGCACACACAAACATACCGCATATGTTTTGTTTTTCGAAACTACCAAGCCCCAAAAGAGCAGCAGAAACAGCTACGAACAACCAAACCCAGAGAGGGAGAGACAAACAAAACAGAAAAATTTTGAATAGATAATGGCAAATACAACGCGCCAGTCTTTTGTGAACAACAATAGCGTACGGTCCGGTCGGTTAGTTGTTCAATTTGTTGTTGTTATTATTGTTACAAAAATAAACCACTTAACTACCGAAAGCGACGTGTATTGTCATCTGAATTATCTAATTTAGTATTTTTGTTATCCGTCACTTTACTTAGCTGCAATTAAATGAACAATATTTCCCCACTTCGAGAGTGGGCTGTAGCTGTTGTTGCTACTGTGGGTCGTTCGTCACCACATGAATAGACTAAATTATTAGATAGACTGCTGGCTGGTTGGCTGGACTGATTATTAGTTAAATATTCGAAATATTAGGAACGTGTATGCCCCATATGCCGCCGTGTGTGGAGATAATGATAATAAGACAAGCAACACGAAAATAGCAACAATTTTTGACAGTTCCCGTATTGAATGTTGTGTGTGTGTGTATGAATTTGTTTTAATTAATCTTCGGACTTCTAAATCTTCCTTGGGCTTATCAATATTTTGTTTTTCGAATTGTTTTGCATAATTTGCCCGCAAACAAATGAATTGTCAACGTCAATTGAGAATTGTCAAGCAGTAAATCAAGAACATCGCGTACGTAACGCAAAACAAAACGAAAGAAAAAGAATTACAAAAACAACAATAAGATATAATTTTAAAATAATTACAAATTCCGAAAAAATAATCTCAGCCTAAAAGGAAACCGAAAAAAAATTAAAATCGAAAAAAATTCTCCAAAAATGAAAGCTGTTAAAAATAAATCCCGCCTGCTATTGGGTCTGCGCAAATCTCCAGCCGATTTACACAGTGCAAAGTTCATACATTATTATGGACCCACATATGTGGACAGTGCCATCTACGATTTGGAAGATTTCCAGTCCATATTGAATGATGAGAAATTTGATAAAAACAAAAACACAGTCCTCTATTTACATGGCTATTTGGAAAATGTCGATGTGGAGAGTATCCATGTCATTGTCGATGCCTATATGAAGAGGACAGATACAAATCTAATTGTTTTGGATTGGGGTGAATTGGCCGATGGCAACTATGCCTTTGATGCTGTGGTAAATGCCAAACAATTGGGTCCGGTATTGGCCAAAATGTTGTTACAACAATTTGAAAATGGTTTGGACATAGAAAAATTCCACATTGTGGGTCATTCCCTGGGTGGTCAAATGGCTGGCATTGTGGGTCGTGAAATCTATGCACGCAGCAAAAAGACCAAGAAAATCAAACGCATTTCAGCTCTGGATCCCGCCTTCCCTCTATTCTACATGACCGTGGGCATGGCCAAACATTTAAGCCGTCACGATGCTGAATTTGTTGATGTCATACACACTGATGCCTGGCTATATGGAGCTCCCTTTAGTACCGGCACTGCTGACTTTTGGCCCAATGCTGGGAAAACCCTACAACCTGGCTGCCCAAAACGGAATTATCGCATGCTAACCGATAATGATTTATCCAGTCATCGTCGTTCCTGGTGGTTTTGGGCGGAAAGTGTTGCCAATGAATATCCAGTGAAATTTAATTGTGTAAAGGCGAAAGACTGGTCCGACTTTAAGGTTGGCAAACTTATCAACGATGATCGGGAACATGTTGTCATGGGCCATGATTGTCCGACGAATATTTCTGGTGATTATTTCCTGCAAACAAACGGCTCGAAACCTTATGCCCGTGGTGTCCAGGGTACATATTATATTGAACCTAAAGATCTTCCGGGTTATCTCTATAAGGAGGATGATTTAACAACGTAGTTTGACTTCGGAATTTTAATTTATTGTTTGTGTGTGTATATAAAATTGAACGAATTTTGTTATTAGTGTGTTTTATAAATATGGAAGTGAATTTAAATGAATTGTTTGATATTTGTTGTATATATAAGTAAATAGTTTTATTTTATGATCCGCTCAAAGAGAAATAATGTTTTAATTTTTATATATTTTTAATAAAAAAATTAAAAAGAAAAATAAATAAATTTAATTAATTTTATTATTTAAACAAATGGTTTATTTTATCGTGCGTGGATTACAATTCTAAAACTCTGGAATTAAAGAACTATTGGTCGTTAAATCTGAAGTTAAATATTTCCTATTTCTTTTTATCGAAACTTTGTATGTTTTTTTGGCTTGACAAAATAAAAAGCTGATATTGTCTGGTGATATGTATGCTCTTATTGCAAGTATGAGGAGGTAAATGTTCACGAAATTTTGCTCACTGTAAGGGAAATCCATTATTTTTATATGAACTATAGGATTTTATTTAACATGCTTCGGAATGTCCGATTTGGGCCACATATATGTACCGTTTTGGTGTATGATTTGTTGTCATTTTAAAGATAACTTCATAATGTCTCTCTGTCATAGAAGTCCTGCTCTCTATTTGCAAAAAAAACTCTAGTAGTCAATTTTCATAATCCTCCCCAGATACAAATTTTTTATTATTAAGGGGATACTGTTTAATATAGTTTGTGGTCAAAAATAGCCGGATTTCCAAACACATTTTTCAAAGGTTAATTTTTTTTGTTAATTTTTGAGCGAAGTCAATAATCCTAGTTCATATGAGAGCCAGACATGTAATCTTTCTGACACCCTTGAAATTTCCGGATTCCGATGCTCCAGTGAGGAGTTATTATGCCCGCCATCAAAAATAACGAATTTTCTTTACTCACCAAAAACAATAACAAAACAACAACAATCAACTTTTGCAAATTATTTTTGTTCTCTTTTAAATCTTCGAAGATTTAAAGCCCAATGCAAATCTTGAAAACTTAAAATTTAGAATGGGGGAGGTCCCCTTAAACAACTTTTGTAATGCAAGAAAAATATGATAATCTCTTGGCACCAAGTCCGCACTGTACGGCGAATGCATTAAAACTTCCCAACCAAACTCCCAAAGTTTCTGGAGAGTCACTGTAGATGTGTGTGGCCTAGCGTTGTCCTGGTGGAACTCGACACCTCTCCTGTTGGCCAATTCTGGCCGTTTCTTATCAATTGCTATTTTCAAGCGATTCAGTTGTTGACAGAGATCAGAATTTTGCGTTTGGCCATATGGAAGCAACTCATAATAAATAATGCCCTTCCAGTCCCACCAAATGCATAGCAGAAGTTTTCTGGTCTTTAGTCCTGGTTTGGCCATCGTTTTAGGTGCTTCACCGCTCTTTGACCACTATCTGTTTCGCTCAGGTTTATTGTATGTGATCCATTTCTCATCTCCAATCACCATCCGTTTAAGAAATGGGTTTATCTCATTCCGTTTGGCCAAGGCTTCGTACATGGAAATTCGATCCATCCTATTTTTTTCTGTTAATTGGTGTGGGACCCAAATGTCGAGCTTCTTTTTATACCCTCCACCATAGTATGGAGGGTATATTAATTTTGTCATTCCGTTTGTAACTCATCGAAATATCCATATATATTCTAGATCAGGGTAAAATTCTAAGACGATCTAGCCATGTCAGTCCGTCCCTCTGTTTCTGAAGGAAATGCGATAGATCGCCGAAATTTGGCATAGAGTTATCTTTTGTCTGCAAGCAGGTCAAGTTCGAAGATGGGCTATATCGGTCCACGTTTAGGCATAGCCCCATATAGGGGTACCGTCCAATTTTCGATATTTTGGGGTTCTTTAGCGCATTTTTCAACCGAATTCGCTGGCATTTGGTACATTGGGTTCTTTTTGGGTACCAAATGTCTCCACTTAAAATTATAAATGTCGGTCCACTTTTTCTGATAGCCCCCATATAATGGAACCCCCAATGTACTGTATTTGGGGGGGCGCTTGGCTAATCGTTTTTTTAAACCAAATTCGCTGAAATTTGGTACAATGGGTTCTTATTGGGCACGAAATTTCTTCACTAAAAACTATATAGGCCCATTTTTTTGGGGTAGCCCCCATATAACACACCCTCAATTTTTGGTATTTTGGGGTTCTTTAGCGCGTTTTTCAACCGAATTCGCATGTTATTTAGTATTTTGTAGTCGAATATGGTAACAAATCTTCCTTCTAAAAATTACACTGTACTACAAAATAACAAAAAAAAAAAATTTTCAGGGATTCTAATGTACCAATTCTGTTTAGTTGGAGTCCCTGGATCACGAAAATACCTTTGGTTTTTCTGGGTCACTTCGAAAATTAATTTTATAACGGTAAATATAGAGAAAAACGTGGTTTCATGGATTTTCCATTTGAAACTTGAATAACTTATTTACTTTATAACGGATTTATATTCATAATGTCTCTCTGTCATAGAAGTCCTGCTCTCTATTTGCAAAAAAAACTCTAGTAGTCAATTTTCATAATCCTCCCCAGATACAAATTTTTTATTATTAAGGGGATACTGTTTAATATAGTTTGTGGTCAAAAATAGCCGGATTTCCAAACACATTTTTCAAAGGTTAATTTTTTTTGTTAATTTTTGAGCGAAGTCAATAATCCTAGTTCATATGAGAGCCAGACATGTAATCTTTCTGACACCCTTGAAATTTCCGGATTCCGATGCTCCAGTGAGGAGTTATTATGCCCGCCATCAAAAATAACGAATTTTCTTTACTCACCAAAAACAATAACAAAACAACAACAATCAACTTTTGCAAATTATTTTTGTTCTCTTTTAAATCTTCGAAGATTTAAAGCCCAATGCAAATCTTGAAAACTTAAAATTTAGAATGGGGGAGGTCCCCTTAAACAACTTTTGTAATGCAAGAAAAATATGATAATCTCTTGGCACCAAGTCCGCACTGTACGGCGAATGCATTAAAACTTCCCAACCAAACTCCCAAAGTTTCTGGAGAGTCACTGTAGATGTGTGTGGCCTAGCGTTGTCCTGGTGGAACTCGACACCTCTCCTGTTGGCCAATTCTGGCCGTTTCTTATCAATTGCTATTTTCAAGCGATTCAGTTGTTGACAGAGATCAGAATTTTGCGTTTGGCCATATGGAAGCAACTCATAATAAATAATGCCCTTCCAGTCCCACCAAATGCATAGCAGAAGTTTTCTGGTCTTTAGTCCTGGTTTGGCCATCGTTTTAGGTGCTTCACCGCTCTTTGACCACTATCTGTTTCGCTCAGGTTTATTGTATGTGATCCATTTCTCATCTCCAATCACCATCCGTTTAAGAAATGGGTTTATCTCATTCCGTTTGGCCAAGGCTTCGTACATGGAAATTCGATCCATCCTATTTTTTTCTGTTAATTGGTGTGGGACCCAAATGTCGAGCTTCTTTTTATACCCTCCACCATAGTATGGAGGGTATATTAATTTTGTCATTCCGTTTGTAACTCATCGAAATATCCATATATATTCTAGATCAGGGTAAAATTCTAAGACGATCTAGCCATGTCAGTCCGTCCCTCTGTTTCTGAAGGAAATGCGATAGATCGCCGAAATTTGGCATAGAGTTGTCTTTTGTCTGCAAGCAGGTCAAGTTCGAAGATGGGCTATATCGGTCCACGTTTAGGCATAGCCCCATATAGGGGTACCGTCCAATTTTCGATATTTTGGGGTTCTTTAGCGCATTTTTCAACCGAATTCGCTGGCATTTGGTACATTGGGTTCTTTTTGGGTACCAAATGTCTCCACTTAAAATTATAAATGTCGGTCCACTTTTTCTGATAGCCCCCATATAATGGAACCCCCAATGTACTGTATTTGGGGGGGCGCTTGGCTAATCGTTTTTTTAAACCAAATTCGCTGAAATTTGGTACAATGGGTTCTTATTGGGCACGAAATTTCTTCACTAAAAACTATATAGGCCCATTTTTTTGGGGTAGCCCCCATATAACACACCCTCAATTTTTGGTATTTTGGGGTTCTTTAGCGCGTTTTTCAACCGAATTCGCATGTTATTTAGTATTTTGTAGTCGAATATGGTAACAAATCTTCCTTCTAAAAATTACACTGTACTACAAAATAACAAAAAAAAAAATTTTCAGGGATTCTAATGTACCAATTCTGTTTAGTTGGAGTCCCTGGATCACGAAAATACCTTTGGTTTTTCTGGGTCACTTCGAAAATTAATTTTATAACGGTAAATATAGAGAAAAACGTGGTTTCATGGATTTTCCATTTGAAACTTGAATAACTTATTTACTTTATAACGGATTTATATTATTCTTCTTTTCTTTCGAAGAGTACAATTTTTCCTTTCAAACAAGATATATGTTTGGTTAATCGGTTGAGTATTGGCTGAGTTACAGCGGTTGAAATGTGAAAAAATACGCAAAAAATGACAAAATTTATTTTTCTTCGGACTGTACGATGAAATTATGATATCAAGCCATATAAGTTTTAATATATTATGGGGAAGAAAATTAAATTAGCTTTCGAAAATGATAAAAATAAAAAAAATCGGTTAAAAAATTGATGACTTATACACATTTTTGTATTTATTCTATGCATATTCTCTAAAGGAAATATGGGTCTGTATCGTTTCCTGTTACAAACCGTTATGTTTGTAACAGGCAAAAGAACGAGATAGACCCATAGTTCCTTTAGATAATATGCATAGAATCAATACAAAAATGTGTATAAGTCATCCATTTTTTAACCGATTTTTTTGATTTTTATCATTTTCGAAAGCTAATTTAATTTTCTTCCCCGTAATATAATAAAACTTATATGGCTTGATATAATAATTTCATCGTACAGTCCGAAGAAAAATAAATTTTGTCATTTTATGCGTATTTCTTCACATTTCAACCGCTGTATCTCAGCCAATACTCAACCGATTTACCAAATATATATCTTGTTTGAAAGGAA